GTATATTTATCTTTTACTGTAGCGAGATTCATAGAATCTTTCCTTCTCATAGAAAAAATACATTATTAAATTAAGTAAATTAATACTAGATATATATATATATATATTAATCGTGATTAATCGACTCTAAAATAAAAGTTTGTTTACGTAATATGCGTTTATGCATATATAAATACACACACACACAGGCTATATATAATATATAAATATAATAACATATACAAACATATTATGTAAACAAACTTTTATTTTAGAATTGATTAATCGTGATTTGACGGCACTAATATATATACACAGACACACACACACACATACATATATATATATATATATATATATATACACACACACACACACAGACACACACATATACATATACTGTATAGTTTGTTTTGTTTATACAAGAAACAGTCGCAATTGTGAGATAAATAAATAATCTATTTACTTTCTACATGTACTTGCCTTCTTTTGTAATAAAAATAATTATATATGTATAAAATAATATTTGTTTATAGGATAAACAGTCTTAATATATACATTAACATATACACTATTTATTTATAATAATGTATGTCATAATCTGAGGCTCTGAGCCATCGAGTTTGTACTGAAACGGCAAAAATAAAGAGGGAAAACGATTTGGGGGTCATAAGGTCAGGGAAGCAGCTGGCCTCTGTGCACCTTGCATTGAAGAGATGGGCAATGATTTAAAGAGAGGTGGGAAGAGGAGGTGCAGTCAGGGTTCAAACGTCTGACTGAAGGAATGGACAGCTGCTCGCTGTCCAGCCATTCCAACTATCCCTCCGTTAGCTCCCTGTAAAGGACACACTCGCTCCAAATATAGCGCAATTAACGTCACTCTATAAACCTCGTTGGGTAGACCATTTCAAACGGGGCCTAAAGACAACCATGGCGACAGTGCAGCGTTTTCTTCCTGATGTGTTACAAAGGCATACTTAACCTCTGCACTAATCTGCCATAAGCCAGAAATGTCAATTACGAGTGCTAGTGCTTACTCTTCTGAGCGGGATGTTTGAGAGCTAGTGGGAGAACAAGGCACCGCTTGGGATCAGGCGGATCAGGCCGGATCATATCAGAAAGCCACTTTGTTTTCATACGACACTTCAAATTGAAGTCGCTTTGTTTCTGCTATGAAAACATCATATTCTCAAACAAAATAGCTGATATTATATATATATATATAAAAAAATTTAGCTTCAGTTGAAACCACTGTTAAGTAGTCCTTATATTATATATACTCACACACACAACTGTGTACATCAGCAAAATGTTATATTATTGTGCATAGTTGCTGCATTCCTTGGCAATGTTTTTGAAAGAAGTCACTTCTGCTCACTAAGGCTACATTTATTTTATCGGAAAAAGTAGAATTGTGAAATATTATTACAATTTAAAAGAACCGTTTTTGTATTTTAGTATAGTTTAAAATGTAACTTATTCCTGTGATGCAAAGCTGAATTTTCAGTATCATTACTCCAGTCTTCAGTGTCACATGATCCTTCAGAAATCATTCTAATATGCTGATTTGCTGCTCAAGAAATATTTCTTATTATTATCCTTGCTGAAAACAGTTGTACTGCTTAATATTTTTGTGGAAACCATGATGCATTCTTTTCCAACATTCTTTGATGAATAGAAAGTCCAAAACAACATCATTTATTTGATATATAAATCTTTTGTAAAATTATAAATGTCTTCTTTACTGTTACTTTTGATTCTAGCTGAATAAAAGTATTCATTTCTTTCAGAAAAAGATCTTACTAACCCCAAAATCTTTTGATGGATATGTAACTATTTATTCATTAAATCGCTGATGCCAAAATTGTAAACAAACAGCCACTCGAGGCTCAGCGTTACAGTGATTCTAACAGTTTAAGCAAGTTTTCTCTTCATGTCATCACCAGTAACACTTCGTACCCTTACCGATAGTAAAATCACTATGTATGTACAGCTGTTTATGTCTTATAGATAAATCTAAAAGCAAAATCTAATCAGCAACAAGCAAATCTATATATCATGGTGCTGCTATTTGACATTATATTTGTAAAAGGTACAATCAATCATGGCTAATAAGACAATCTGATGCTAACAACAAACCTACTTTAATACTGAAATATAAAGAAGAGCAATACAGTGTTTGATGTTGCACTGAAAGTGTTGTTAACTGGATGCAGTGTAGGTTCAAGTAGACTCTGCGTACTTGGAAAGAAGATGAATGATGTAGGGAAATGTTTATGAAGCCTAAGCAACACACATGAGCAAACAGAACCAGGAAACGCCCAGGAATGTCTAATTAACATAGAAACATATGGGCAGCATATTGCATATGAGTTCTGTAAAAGAAACCTCACCTACATCAATACACAGAGCTGCTAACACAGAGCTCTACCACTTGCACTCATGAAATGTGAATGTCTGGTTAGTTTTAGCATGCAGGGTATGTACTGAAAACGTATCATATTAAATAAACACATGGCAGTTATGACCTCAAGTGTGTTAGTCATTAAATCTAGTGGCACTTATTATAGGCTCATTAACAAATTATATCCTCCCTTGGATTAATCAACTATCAGAAGCGCTATAGTATCAAAATAAACCTGTCTATTTGAATGAATCTAGCTTGACACATCATGTTTACAGTGAACTGAATTCTATTCATCAACAAAAATGTATATGTATTGTTATTTTCCAATTTAAATATATTACAAACTACCAGTTTTACTAGTTAGTAGTTAAAAAAAATATATATATTCTGCAAGGATGCAATAAATTAATCAAAAGTGACAGTATACCATTTACCGTTCTTTAAACTTTTTATTAATCAAAAATACTGAAAAGAATGTATCACGGTTTCCACAAACATATTAAGCATGTTTCTTGAGCAGCAAATCAGCATATTTAATGATTTCTGAAGGATCATGTGACACTGAAGACTGGAGTAATGATGCTGAAAATTCAGCTTTGCATCACAGGAATAAATTACATTTTAAAATATCTTAAAATAGAAAACAGCTGTTTCAAAATGTAATAATATTTCACAATATTACAGTTTTTACTGTGTTTTTTAAAAATGAATACAGCTTCTGTGAGCAGAAGAGACTTCTGCACAGAAAGAGTGTACTCATTTTCAATAGACACAATCTAACGTTACAAATTCTTACAAAACCAGTTTCACTTCATCTCTGAACAAGCCGGAATAAGGTGGTGTTTCTAACAATCTGGCATTAGATTTCACAAATAATGGATTTTGTGGTTTAATGACAAAAAGGGGGTAAATAAGGTCACTCAGAGAGTAAAAATAACTGGTAGAACAAAAAGTAAGCTCTGAGCAACAGCAGTTCTCCCGAAACAGCTCAGTTTAATTAAGATATTATCTCCCTAACGGCGCTCGCAAACATTCCCCGGTACCTGTAAGACATGACTCATTTGCTCAGTCACATCCTGTCCAACATGAGTGTCTCCTCTTGAAGGTGATTTCCAGTTATAGATCTGCAGAAATGTATATACTAGCCCCCCCCTTGTGAGTTTGACCTTTCTCCCTTGACCTCCCTGTGCTCAGCTGGCAGGAGTTTGTGTGTTTGTGTGGGGTTTGCTTCTGAAAACTGAGAAGTGTTTCTGGGACCTTTTCCATGAGAGGTGAGCGGCACAATAGAGCTGTAATTTGACATGCCCACTTCTTATCTGAATCCGCTTACTGATAGCAATGTGCCGTACGCACGACACACTCGACAAGCCTTACATTCCTCATCCAGAGAACATTCTCGGTTTGATATGGACCACATTCTTTGGCTGCTGTCTGAAATATTTCTAAAGGGAACTAGAACAATCACTGAGGAACAGTCTACTAATATTAATGCTCTGTAATGTTGAGTAATAAACTTTATTTGTTTGGATTAGGACTGGCAATGTAGGAGGCTCATTAATGATGTCGGGGAAAACTAAAGTATTTTCTTTCTTAGCAAGAAATCTCTCGAAGAAGTTCCAAAAGATTAGACTTTATTGAACAGAACAACAACGCCGAGTTGCTAATCATCTATTAACTAAAACAGTGCCTCGCAATGCCAAGGTCACCTGTCAAATTCATAACTAAAATGAAAAGATTTGGTAGCGCTAATTTGGAAAACAATTTATTATGTCGAGATATTCTAACATTCAGCATCATTCCCCAGTCCTACTGCATTTAAGAAACCTAAATGTAAAATGCGTCTTTTGAAAAGAAAGAAAATAAGATGCGTTTAAATGTTATAGATATTATATAGTATATATATATATGTGTGTGTATATATATATAACATTTAAATGCTTATCATATTTTCTTTCTTTTCGAAAGACCCATTTTGCTTATTATATCTTATGCTATATAGAAATTATAGATAAATAATAAAATATTTATCTGTATTTATATTTCATTTATAATTTTAATAAATATTTACTATTATAGTATAAAATCCCATATTATATAATACAAAATATATAAATTATATAATATAAATATTTAATTTAAAATTATATAAATATTATATAAAACCTATAATGTTTATATATTATATATATATATGTTTTTTTTCCCATAGATACAAAAATGATATCCTTTTGGAAATGGCTATGTTATTGAGTACATTAACACATGACTGCCAATATTTACATATTAATGCCTTGATAAATGTCAATCATAACAGAGGTCAGAAATCTTAAAGGTACAGTAGCAAAAAGCCTGAGGTCAGAGAAATATGTCATTTCACTGTTAAAAAACCTTGATCAACTTCATAACCCAGAGAAAAGCATTCATGTCTTTGAACTCTTTTGTTTCTACCCTCAACAGCGCTCCACTGAGCTAGTTTCATGTGGAGAGAAAGTATCTATTGTGAGGTTTTAATAACAGGTGTTTGGTTAATATCTGGTCACTTTCATCATGGGTATTTGTTTTATTTGCAGGGTATGTGTGGGAAAGTAAAACATTTCCTCTGTATAAACTGTACCTGGTTGATGGAAGCTTGGAGATAATTCATAAGCCACAGCTCTGGCTAAGTCGGATTCTTGACATCCTGCAAGTGCGGCCTGGTCTGCTGCTTCACTCTTAGTCCTTGCGTGGGACGTCCTGCACACACACGGCAGAGAAAGTGAAAGAGTTAATGGCATACATAATTTTTACAGCATAACATTTTTTTGTAAATGTATACATATATACCCACATACTCTTACAAATGATTCTTTACTTTTCTGAATGCTTCACTTTTTTGAAACTTCAGTTCCCCTCAGGTTTACACATCAAATTAATTGTGAACTCAATCTATTAACTTAAAAGAGTACAAATACTTAATTTTCACACATATATCTATTGTCTTTTTGATTGTTTTGAAAGTGTGATTTTTTTTTCTGTAAAAATTGTGCTTACTTGAAATCCTGAAATATGCACAAACATATATTTAATACATTAAACACACAAGTGTGAGTGGTTTGCTGAATGCTTGTGCTTGGGTTATTGAAACATGGATGCATTATCTTTTGTACTGATGTGGCCTGCCTTTAGCTGTGTATAGGGAGAGAGGGAGGGAGGCAGAGGGTGTGTACGTGCACATGTGTGCACACATGTATCTGTGTGTATGGAGGGTAGAGGATTCCTGTGCCTAAATAGTACTATGGGGTGTGCTGATCCCCCTGTTTTTGTCAAATCCAAATCCTGCTTCTACAAACGGATAGGGACAAAGCATTTAATCTGGTCGGAGGGCACAGACCACAGGAACACATCCCTCTTACTAAGCACACAACAGACATAGAACACTCCAATAAATAAATAAACTATTCTACTAAATAAAATATATATAATACTATATTTTATATATAATGAGCAAATCATATATTAGTATTTTAATATATATACTTTTATAGTGTGTATATGTATATATACTGTATATATACAGTGCTGTGCAAAAATCTTAGGCACGTTAGTATTTTCACCAAAAACAAAAAGGTTTTAAGCCAGTCATTTATATCTTTTGCTGTAGTGTGTCAGTAGGAAATATCAGTTTACATTTCCAAACATTAATTTTGCCATTAATTGTAATAATCCAGTGAGATTTTTGTATGCACAAGGAGTCTGACAACAGCCAGTGGATTTGATTGTCCTGACTGAGCGTGAGCTTGTGAGGCTCCGCCCTCTGTGCCGGCTGCAGCAGCTCATTAGCATTTAAAGGGATCACACACTAAAACGGCGCGTTTTTTTCAGCCCTAAAAAATGATCTGTTGGGTATTTTGAGCTAAAACTTCACATACACACTCAGTTATGCCTTAAATAACGTAAAAAGTTGAGAAATAAAACGCAAGTGCGACAGTATTCATTGGATCTTAAAGTGACAGCAGGATAATATTCCTGCTACTGTCTGTGTTTTTAATGCTAATCAAACAACAAAGAACAGTCACTCATTGCTCTTGTCTGAATAACTTTTGTAACTTTATTTCATTGCTGGTAAAATATTTTTATGGCTGTAATTGTTTTTGTCACTGACCATTGGCAGGTGTGACAAAAAGGTTGATTTTAGACTGTATATTAGTATTTCAATATTTCTAATTTGAATAAAATGTTGTTAAAATGTGACATTGTTGAGATCTGAAACTAGTGGAAACACACAAGATTACAAGGGTCTTTTTCTTTAGAGCAAAAGTCTCCATATGTCTCGAGGCGAAATAATCATGAATGCAGGAAACTAGCATATAAAAAGTAAAAGTTTATGTTGTGTTGGGATCATGATAGGCTTGGCCTCCGGATGGCTTTAATGAAGCCCGCATCATGCTGAAATACAAGCTTAGTGATCAAGAGGTGACCTGCTTCTCAAATCCCTTCAAAACCCCCAACGTGCTGCAACACACACTGTTTTCATCTTCTCACAGACAGGCCAGATTGAGTCTGTGCAGCGTATGCATTAGGCATTAGGGATTTTTCCCCATCGGTTCAGAGCTATTACTATAACTATTACGCAACCCAGCATCAAAAGCACAAAATAAACTCTCTAAAATGCAGGGGATTAATCCAATTGATGCTTCAGTAAGAACTACCTCCAAAATATGAGTCAAGTCAAGATTCACCAGCATAATAGGATGTCTGAAATAAATAGCTAAGTGTTCTGCATAGAAACTAAAGCTTTTAGTTCTCTATAATATCAATTAGTTTCTTCCTGTGACCATGATGGATTGAGATGTTTACGGCTTTGTTAAACCCTTCTTAGACAAAGTGGTGGTCTGTTTTAATCATTAACCTTATTTTCAAATGCAAGAGGCCAGATGCTTTGGGATAGTCTGGCCACCAGTGCAAAAATAGCTTATCATTGGGGGACAAAGAGGTGCTTTCTGCCCAGATTCCGATTCTGACACATATCGACCTCTATTTCTGATCGTCACATAATAACGATCATTGTAGAGTCCTCATGCAGACAGTGTGAAGCATGCAAAGCAAGTGATAAAGTGTGAGGGAGTTTTAGACGCATCTATTTGGGGTACGAGACAGACCGTGGGGCTATGGAGGCCCCACTGACAGAATGTGTAACCTCACGGTCCCAAATCCATAACGCTTTATTATAATAAATACACCATTCAAGCTGTGTCAAATCTGTTTCAAAATTATTCACAAAACTATTGAGCACCACAACTGTTTTCAATATTGATAATAAGAAATGTTTACCATTTTGAGCACCAAATCAGTAGATTAGAATGTTTTCTGAAGGATCATGTGACACTGAAGACTGGAGTAATGATGCTGAAAATTCAGCTTTGCCATCACAGGAATAAATTGCATTTTTAAATATATTTAAATAGAAAACAGTTATTTTACATTATAAAAATATTTTACAATATTACTGTTTTTTGATCAAATAAATGTAGCATGAGAATAAGAGACTACATTAAAAAACATTCCAAAAGTCTGACACCACTATTTCATATTTATTAAAGAATAAAAATAAAAAAAAACTCCCCCATCAACATGAATTGAACAATTAATATGAATTTCAGAATATTTTGGTATTTGGTATACACTTAAGAATCTCAAATCTTTCTTATTTATTTTTTATTACTCATGTTTTCATTTTATATATAAAAAAACATTATTATTTTTATATAATTATTATATATTTGTGCAGGCTTAATTAGATTTTCATTCCCAATTTTCAATGTGGTCTCAGACACTTGACTGTACATATACAGTACAACAGCATGCGAAGCAGTCTAGAATGAGAGAAAAATCCCTCTCTATTTCATATTCTCCCTCTATTCAAATCCCACCAGTTTCTGTGTACACCTACTTCAAGACCTCTGGGTATTTAAAACCTCGGTATGCATCTCTGCACCCCTCTAATTTTAATGGTGCACTTGAATTTCACCCCCTCTTTGTGACCTCCTTTCAGGCCAGGGCCGGGACAAATGTGCCTGCGGGATTGGCTGGTCGTCCCTCAGGCCATTGGCCCACATTGAGACGAGCTAACATGGCTGATCAGAAACCAGTTTTGCCAGTTTTCATATAAGGATTAAGATAAGGGCTCTGGTACCACAGGATGCCTCCTGATCACAGCAAAAGGTTCTTTTCCACCCGGAGCTATTTGCAGAATCTCTACATTTACTAACACTGTTTTGCAGTGAGCAAAATTGGTACAGTATGTGCCCGCCTCTCTCTCTCTCTCTCTCTCTCTCTCTCTCTCTCTCTCTCTCTCTCTCTCTCTCTCTCTCTCTCTCTCTCTCTCTCTCTCTCTCTCTCTCTCTCTCTCTCTCTCTCTCTCTCTCTCTCTCTCTCTCTCTCTCTCTCTCTCTCTCTCTCCCACATTTTCTCAGTTATACAGGAGATATTTGCATTTTATTCAACAAGCCAAAATCTGCCCCCTAAGATGCTTACGTGGTACATAGACATAAATCAAACTCTAGGTCTCAGTTATGAGTCATAAAGACCAGAGTAATATGCATTTGAATAACTAATAAAGAGGTTTATATCACTTTGAATAACAAATCCCTTTAGGCTATGAAAAGGGCTGATGAAGCACTGGATAAACAGTATCTAAAAGGGATAGATCACACAAACAGAAAAATCAATGAATTATTTACACCCTCATGTTGTTCCAAACCTTTATGACTTTCTTTCCTCCATGAAACACAAAATCCTTTCACACAAGTCTTTTCCATACAGTTCATTGATTGATAATAGCCCCATTAAAAGTAGCATAAATACACGTTTAAATTTATGTGGTCAATATGTTTTTTTGAAAGACATTATAAAAATACAATGAAATGCAGCAAGGGTGCATTACATTGATCAAAAGTGACAGTAAAGACACTAATAATGTTACAAATTATTTCTAAGTAACGATGCTAAAAATGCAGCTTTGCAGCACAGGAATAAAATACCATTTTGAAATCGAAACTCAGCAAGTAGAAAACAGATCAATTTCAACATTTTAAATTGTAATAATATGCTGTTTTGATCAAATAACTGCAGCCTTGGTGAGCATAAGATAGAAAAAAATACTGACCTCAAACATCTGAACAGTAGTGTAATCCATTTGATTTTGGATAATAGTATGCAAAATCTTCTCAAGTCACTTGACAACTTTGTGTGATAAGAGAGAGAAGAAGATCATTTGTGTGAGAATAATAACATATGGTTCTTAGTGAGAACCACTGAGACCGAATCATTGAGTAATTAAGTCTAACATGAATCAGGTTAACATTTTAGACTAAAGTTTTGTTTATGAATTGGACTGATCCAGTTCTGGAGTTCAACTCATTGACTCTATGATTTAGTTAACGGTTCAATGGATGGGAAGATTATCAGTGAATACTAACTCAATAAAGTTCTTCTAAAGTCAGGCGATTTAGAGCAATTTATGTAGTTTTTTGGTGTGTCATTTTTGAAACATGACATGAAGCTTTTCCATGTCAAGAAAAGTATACCCAAGTGCAGATTCTTCAGAAAGATTCTTATTTTGTTGTCCGCAGAAAAATAAAAGCATATAAAATAAAGAGTTCAAAAATGACCTGAGCGTAAATGATGAGAACCAAATTATTTTGAAACTATATTACAATACTGGTAGTAAAAAAACGCATTAAGCACACATACGT